TGCCGGAGCCTCTGGCACCGCCGGCAAACGGCTGCACAGCCCCGGCTGCGAGCGGCCGTACCTGTGCGAGTGCCGGGCAGGCGGCTGCGCCCGCAGCTTGGAATTCTCTCCTTCTTTGCTCGAGCCAGGCAATCATGAGTGATCGAAAGGCAGTGATCAAGAATGCGGACATGTCAGAAGAGATGCAGCAGGACTCTGTGGAGTGTGCCATTCAGTTTCTGGAGGAATGCAACATTGACATGACACTACAGCTCACATAAAGAGGACAAATGCTCGCTCCTAATGTTTTCCTCCTGAACACTATGTGAACTTCAAAAATCAAGCAAAAATGTTAGTAAGTAGTTCTAGAGAAACAAGTCCTGTGGACACTAGATTATCAAGTCAGACTTTCTCTGTAGGCTGGTGTTCTTAAATTCCTTTCTGTACCCCTTATATGTACTCTTCTGTTTCTTGACCTTCTCTTTCACAATTCCGTTTATTTAAGTCCTTTTCTGCTCTCCAAAGGCAGCACTTGAATAGTAATACTGAGTTCCTAGTGTTCTCTTCTGCAGGAGTTTGACAGAAAATATAATCCTACTTAGCAGTGCGCTGTGGGAAGGAATTTTGTGACTCCTGGGACCGGTCACTTTGTCATCGCCTGCCTGGGTTCTGTTACTGTTCTTCTCGAAGGTGCTTAGAGCCACAGCCTGTTTCTCAAGCTGTCATCTTGTTCCTCATTTGTGTGCTAATGGCACAAAGCCTGGTGCCTTCAGCTTTCCCGAGGAAGCAGACCTTGGCCTTCAAGGGCAATAGCAGGGATTTTGCTAGCATGGTTGATGGTTTTATTGTAGTTAGGGGAAAAATGGGGAGAGAAAAAAAAAAAAAAAGGCTTCCTTGTATTTATTTTTCTTCCACAGCCAGCTTCTTTGCTAATAAAAGTTTTGTGTTCTGCCTTTACAAGTTCTATGGCTATGTACATTCTCTTTCTAGTATTGCTCGTGCTATTTCTTACTGCCCTGCGAACGTGGATGACTAACATTGTTAGAAAGTTTCTTTTCTCAAATCCAAAACATCTAAACACTGTGGTAACCATACTTATAATGTGGTTGGTAATTC